GTGGCACCCCGGCTCAAACAAAGCCCTTGTTCGTGGGGCGGCTGAGCTGCCCATCCCACCGTGCCAGCTCCCCCAGACCCCCCCCCGGCACGGCTGCGGGCCGGGCCGCGTAATCCCCGCAGGGAGAGCACATGAAATCAGATGGACAAGTTTTGATGTGAGGCAGCAGCTTAGGGCGGGCTCAGGTTTCCTTTAGGTTTTCTATATTTATCTCCGTGATTTAATGCCAGCGCTGGGGTTTAAATGGCACCAAACAGTTGGCGTGGGGAGAGGGAGCAGCCGTCCCCGAGCCGCACACACGTCCCCGGCGTAATCCCCGCAGGGAGAGCACATGAAATCAGATGGACAAGTTTTGATGTGAGGCAGCAGCTTAGGGCGGGCTCAGGTTTCCTTTAGGTTTTCTATATTTATCTCCGTGATTTAATGCCAGCGCTGGGGTTTAAATGGCACCAAACAGTTGGCGTGGGGAGAGGGAGCAGCCGTCCCCGAGCCGCACACACGTCCCCGAGCTGCCCGCGTGCCCATGGAGCTCTTCGAGACCAACCCTTATTTTTTCCCGGACCAGAGGTTTTATGATGGGGAAAATTTCCTGGGCTCCCGCTTGCAGGGCTACGAGCCAGCGGCGTTCCCCGAGCGGCCCGAGGTAGCCCTGTGTCCTGAGGGCAGGGTGGCTTTGGAGGAGAAGGACTCAGCCCTGCCCGAGCATTGCCCCGGGCAATGCCTGCCCTGGGCCTGCAAGGTTTGCAAGCGGAAGACGGTCTCCATCGACCGGCGGCGGGCAGCCACCCTGCGGGAGAAACGCAGGTTGAAGAAGGTGAACGAAGCCTTCGAGGCATTGAAACGCAGCACCCTGCTCAACCCCAACCAGCGGCTGCCCAAGGTGGAGATCCTGCGCAGCGCCATCCAGTACATCGAGCGCCTGCAGAGCTTGCTCAGCACCCTCAACCAGCAGGAGCGGGAGCAGAGGGACCTGCGCTTCCGCCCCGCCGCTCCCCAGCCCGGGGTAAGTGCCTCTGTGC